AGTGTGGCAGTGTTAGCTCGGCTATTTCGAGTATGTCTGCCTCAAGTGGTGGCCGGGTATCGAGAGCATCATCCTCTTCCTCAAGTGGTTGTTTGTCGGATGATAATAATGGCTTTGATTCGGAATTTACCACGGGAACTATAAAACGAAAGCCATCAATGAAACCCAATTTGCCCTTGACCACCATGACCCGACAGCTGAAGGAGGTGGGTGAAAATACCCAGGCTGATAATGAGGATATGAATAATACCTCACCGGAACATAGCGGCACTTTGACAAGGCGCCATAGTCGCCGTAAGTCCCAGGAATCGAATGGTAGTGGCACATTGAAGAGACGTCCGGCAGGGGCAGCCACAGCGGCCATTATGACGGGACTGACAAAGAGAGGTTCGGCGGAGAGTATGAATGCAAATAATTCATCGGGTTCCTCAAATTCCACACCCACTCCAACGCCAAGTATTTGTGCAAAGCCATTGGTGGGGGTGAGTTCGGGAGGCTATGGAGGCCAGCAGGATAATAGCCAATTGCCACCACCACCACCTCCTTCGGTGTTGAACAGTGTGGGAGCTGGAGCGGATGCCATGAGTTGTTCGACCTTGTCATTGGATTCATTGCCACCACCACCACCGCCGGCAGCCTTAGATGAAGTTCAGCAGGATGTTTATGGTTCGCAATTGTCGCTGGTGTCGTTGCCTCCACCACCACCACCTGAGGAGGTGCCTTTGACTCCGACCACACCCACAGCCAGTAATGGGGGTCTGTATTCAATGGTGCCGGGCGGTGGTTCCAAGATACCACCACCTGCCGTGCCAGCCAAGCCCATAAAGCCAGCCGTCAAGGCTGCACCGCCATATAAAAATCCACCAGATTACAAGGGTTCATTGGCTAACAATCAAGCGCTACCACCTCCACCACCCCCAGCAACCACCACGACGACGACAACACAAAAGAAAGTCTCCTTTGCCGATTCGCCCGTATTGCTGCGAAGAAAAATGCATTCTCCCGAACCTCAAGAGCCCTTCTATTCCCCCGGCCCTCTGCCACCACCAAGAAACGATCTCACAAGGCTCTCAAATTGTTCATCAACAATTTCATCGGTATCACAACAAGACTATGGTTCTCCAAAACGCCTACAAGAATCGAATTCGAATCCTCCACGGGACTTCCTCAAAGATCTGCAAAGGGTAATGCGTAAAAAATGGCAAGTGGCCCAAAAATGTAAATTGGAACCGGCCACAACACCCCATGAGGTATTGGGTTTTCGTGATTTCTCCTCGGAGGAGCTGCTGGCCCATAGCCTTAATTCGAATTCGCATTTCTATCGGGAAACGGCCAATGTTAGTAATTGGGTGCAGGAACACTATGGAGCAGGATTGCCATGTGAACCACCACCACCATTGAATGAATATGCCCTCTATGAGAATATACATGCGAATAATAGTAATAATCAAGCGGCGGCGGCGATGGCGGGACAAATGGCGCCCACTATGGAAAATCAGCAACAACAACAGCAACAATATGCCCAGCTGCCTATGGGTAGTAGCAGTATGCCAGCACCACCTCCACCATTAGCCAACAGTATGGATATGGCGAAACGTAATAAACGGCCACCGCCTCCACCACCCAAACGAAGCGATTCCACACATCTGACACATCGTGTTTAGTCTTTTCTGGGTACGTGCTTTCGGGCACGGGGTTTTTGGCATAAATGAGCAGCAGCGGCATCCTCAGCTTCTAAGAAAAAATCGAAATGATGGCCAAGAGACAAATCCAATATTTTTTTAAAAACTAAAAAATATTTTCTAAAGAAAAAGATAACCTAAAAAATAAATTTTCAAAAAATAAAATTGCAAAACAACAAATTTTAATTTTAAAGTATTTCCAATTAAAAAAACAAAGAAAGTGCTTTTAAAGATTTATTTTTAATCTCTTATATATAAATAAAAAATTATTAATTTTTATTTTTTAAGTTAAAAAACAAATCAAAAAAATACCGAAATAAATTGCAAAACATAATAAAACCACATGTGGCATTCAAACCTCCTATCTACCTATTTACCTGTCGCGTTTTTTTTCTAATAATAATATTTAATTTTTATTTTTTAAGTTAAGTTCCTTTTTATATAATTATTGCGCATTGTGTAAACAAACAACTAACCAATAATACGATTATTTTTAAAATTCGATTTTTTGTAAAATTTATACATCCCCTTTTCCCCTTTTAAAAATTATACACATTTTATATTAATTATACAGAGTTGTAATCATAATTAATTAATTATTAAAATTAGAATTATTTTTTAATGAATTTAATTATTATACCTCCCAAATTATATATACCATTTTTTCGAAATTAAAATATGTTCCATATTTTGAAAAATTAAAAAAAAAAAAAAACAAAAACCAACAATATGCAATAAAATTTTTATTTTAAAATTAAAAAAAAAAGAAAAACGACACACAATTATTTTTTTTTTTTATAAAATTTGAAAGAATTTTTCAAATTTGAAATTTTGCCAACATAACCTCAAAAAAATTAAATTTATTTTGTAAAAGAAATCTACACACTTTGGTTCCTAAAAATATTTTTATTAAAAATTCCAAGCTTTGGGGATACTTAAAAAATTAAAATTAAAAATTCGAAATATCCAGGATGTTAAAGCAAAAATATTTTTTTTTTTAATCGAGGGGCTTCAGGGCGCCTTAAAGTATAGTATTTAGAAAAATCAAGGTCCTGAGGATGATTTTAAAAAATATATAGAGCTGAGCAGTATAGTTGGACGGGCCCGACCATATGATACCCTACACAACTTCGACGAAAATCTAACTTTCTTTTTGGTTCTATATTCAGAGCTTGGGCAATATTTCGCGATATTTGCACCCCCTAGACCTACTAGATGTCAACAAATATTTCTAATATTCAGTAGACGAGGGCTATATTTGTCCAGATTCTATTTACCGTGGGTTATGTTGTGATGTTGAGCTTTCAATTGTGGCCTGTATATCGACTTGAAATAAAAACACAAAAAATAAAGTTTTTGGTACACTTTGTTCCAATATTATTATCTGATCATCACCGAAAATTATAGGACCATACCTGGATCTTCATAGAAAATTTGAAAGCTATTTTTTTGAAAGCGCTATATTTCCGCCCTCCAGTGTGGTAATGGGTTACTAAATAATATCTCAGTATGTAAGCTCCTGTACATATTTAAATGTAACTCCCACATCCGAGTACATACGACAATGTAATCGAACACTCCGCTTGGATATACTATAGAATACAAATTTTGTAATTTTTCACACAAAAGTCCGGGTCCATTTGAATCGCTAAATATTGATCGATCTTTATCAAAACAGGCATGTTTATTTTTTGACCTGATCCCCTTCTCCATGTAAAAATTCGCGATGTTTGGGCCTCTGGAACGACCAGAAAATACGACAAAAATAAAGTTTTTGGTCCACTTCATCCCCTAAATATTAACCGATCTTTTCCAAAAACAATAGGCGTCTTCATTGGCCAGAACACATCCTACATGAAAAAATTTCGTAAAGATTGGCCTGTATCGTGTTTACAAATTATAATGAACAGACGGAAGGACACATGATCGACTCTAGATCGACTCAGCTAGTCGAGATATTATGATCGGTATACTTAAAGTTGGGTCTAGGACCAATATTTCGCGGCGTTACAAACTCTTGGGGCTGCACAAAGCTCTAATACCCGAGCTTGGGTCCTAAAAAAATATTTTAAAATATCCACGCACTCCGTGTGCTTTGGAAAAAATACATTTTTTTTTATCCAAGGGATATATAAAATTTGTTTGTGTTCCATTGAATCCTTTTCCAACCAAGGCATTTTATTACGATTTTGAAATAGGTATAGTCACTTATTTTGTTTTGGGTCCATGTTGGGCTCTTACCACTTCTGTCGACCACAATCACAGATCCATCCATCCAATAATTCCAAAAAAATAATGTCGATCGGACAGCAGGTGAAACGATGTCGTTTCAATCGAGTTTTTAAATGTAGGATTTTTTTGTGGTCTCTTCAAAAGTAGGCATTGGTACATTCGAATCTTTCACATTGAATCCCTGATTTACCGAAGAATTTGATTAGTTTTTCCTGTTGAAGTTGTTGTTATCGAATATCGTTACAGTTTTATAACAGATATATCGGGTTTATGGGACAGAAAAAAACTTCGACTGACCCCAAATAAGCGTACCCTGATTTATTTTTTGGTATATCAATAGTCCACAGTTTTTTTGTTTCATCCTTTGGTGCTCATCAAGAGAAACTTTGAATTCTCAGAAGATTCAAAATCTCCCGGCAAAAATGTAACGATCCCGATTTTTTTTTAACGATTTTCGATACTTAGAAGGTCCTAACTGAAATATCTAAACCAACGTGTCTGGAAGTTTTTATTTAGAATCAGAGAATAAAAAAATCACTGACCTGACCCATTATCGGCCTTTGATGGTCTTATGCGTATTTGGAGTTTCAGTGTATCGATAAATAAATAGAAAAAATATCAAAAGAAAATTTTCAATTTTGGTTCCACTTTTAAAAATCGGCTCCACATATAGGAGTTCCGACTGATTTTAGTTATTTTTCGAACTTTTCTAATTTTGCTACTTCCCTGCAAAAATTTGTAAATAAGCATAGCATCCATAGAGGACGTTTTTAGGTATTTTTGAGGTCATAAAGAAATTTTCGAACCAAAATTTTTTACAATTTACAATTTTGAGTTCCTCAAAGTTTGAAAATAAAAAAAAAAACATTGAAGAAAACTTTTCAATGTTGTTGCATGTTTTGACATGGGCCATACCAGGTCCAAATGAATTTTAAGTATTTTGAAGACCTTGTAGTTTAGAAACGAAAAAGTGACTGAATTTGATATTTCGGTTTTTTTTTCAGGGGTTAAATATATAGGACCATGTTTTGAAATAGACCCCATTTATGAGTTTCGATTATATTTTAAAGAGCCTAGTGACATTTTACAATCGAACGATTCTCTAATTGGCATATTGAGATAACAAAAGTATCAAAAAAAAAAAAAAAACATGTTTTTGATATAGGGGACCTTAACGATTTTAGGTATTTTGAAGGGCCTAGCCTCAACAAAAGTGTGTATAAGCATTCATTTTAGTACCTCAGAGGATAGAAATTACCCTGAGAGAAAAACAATTTCCCTTTTATATGCGGCTTAAAGTACTATTTATATGTACTAGTTTAATTTTCCGATCCGAAGGTGATTATAATTAGGTATTTGAGTTGTGGACCTAATTTGTTTTGGTGTTTTATTTTGATTCCTCATGCTTGAAGGTTAGACAAATTTCTAGCGACCACGTTTTTTTAACTTTTTTGTAGTAAATTTTTCCTTATTTTTTGTAGATTTTTTTTAATTTTTTTAGATTTTTTTTTTAGATTTTTTTTTTGTATTTTTTATTTTTTTTAGAATTTTTTGGATTTTGTACTTTTTTTTTTGATTTTTTTGTAGATTTTTTTTTTTTTTTTTTTTTTTTTTTGTAGAACATTTTTTGGTAACAATTTTTTTCTCACCATTTTCCAGTTTCCTTTTTGAATGGAATTCTCCATAGGTTTGAATGCTACTTTTACAACGGTATTCGGCAAAAAAGTTTTGGAATTTTACGTATTAATTTTTGATAAAAAATAACGTTAATTGCTTAATATTGAAAGATAAATTTGTAAATGAATTAAAAATAATATTGGATGTATTGGAATAAAAAAACTATTATACAAAAATAAATAAAAAATTATATAAGTAAATAATTATATAAAAAAATAATTATATAAAAAAATAATTATATAAAAAAAATAAAAATAAATAAATAATTTATAACAAAAAACCCAATACCATGAAAAAATATTAAAATCCGTGGTAAAAAAAACCTGCCAATTTAGAAAACAAACTACAGAGAGGAGATTTTTTTCTCTGAAAATAATAAATAAATAATTAAAAAAAGATAAATCTAAAAATTATTTTCTATTCTTTTTTTATTTTGGTATGGTTTAATATATAAGAAATAATAATAATTAAATAAACAAGTAAGGTATTGTTCCATATATAGTTATATAAATGAAAACAACAACAAAAGCCATAAAAACTTAATATACAGTTTTTTGTATATGTTTTTTATTTTATTAAATTTTTTTTATTATAAAACTAAGTACTGAAAATAAAAAAAAAATTAAATAATAAAAAATAAACAAATAAAAACTTACTACAACTTTAGTGGGCATGCAATGCTTTTTTTTATACATAAATATATATATATAATTCATTAAATAAATAATACATTAATAATTACTAATATAAAAAGAAAAATAATATTAACAAAATGACTACTAAATTATCAAATATATAAAAATAATATAATTATAGATAATAATAAATTATTTATAATGACAAAAAGCAAATTAAATAAAAAATATTTTATATAAAAAAGCTATAAAACAGCGCAAAGGAAAAAAATAACTAAAATAACTAAATTTTACAAAATCCCATAATTTAAAAAAAATATTTAAATATTTATGAAAAATATACAAAAATTGAATTGAATTTAAAAGAATAACAAAAAATATTATTTTATTTAAAATATTTTTTTATTTATGGATTTCAAAAACAAAAATCTCCAAAATGATATCTGGATATTAAATAAAAATTAAAAACAAATATTTAAACCTGTCAA